TATCACCGAATCATTGGGATGGTTTACGGATGTGCCAGTCAGTATAAAGGATAAGGATGGTAAAACTGTTACAGCTATTGGAAATTTTACACGTATTGATAATGGTGAACCTGAACCAATGTTATGTTTAGTTATGACATGGATTCGAAAAGTTCAAGGTATTCTTAACCCGAATAAAAACCAATTCCGAATAAAATTACATGGTAAGTCTTATATTATTCCAACATTCAGCAAGACCCCATCTAGTTCTACTAATAAGGAAGACTTAAAAAAAAATGCATGAATTGTGAGAGAGCTATCATAATCATTACCGAGCTCAATATTCGTAACAGACTTTTACAATCAAAATATGAAACTATGAATAAAAAGAAAACCGATTAAGAATTGCTGGTGATAGACACAGAGTGACTATTTAATATATGATCTGAACTTTCTATTTGTTTCTCTCCCTCATTTAATACTTTTTCAACTTGGATATCACTAATAGTGGATAAATCAAAAACTCGAATAGATTTGGGTTTTGATCGCCTCTTTTTTATCTGTTGATTTGAAGTTTTAACTGAAGTGTGTAGGCTCGAAGAACTATGATTCAAAGAAGAGACAGAATCTTGAATCTCTGATTTATCGCCTAATGGCCTGCTCTGTAATAAAGGTATATAGTTATCTTCTAATTGTTTATTTATTGCGAAGCAATGATCCTTTAGGTCTAGAGATATAGATGTTATTTCAGAAGAAATTGTACTTTGTACCTGAGATGAATAAGAATCTATCATTTGCTGTTTACGTTTCTGATTCTCAATATATTCTTTGGCTTGAGAAACAGATATACGATATTTTTTTGCCATTGTATTTATGGCATCAGGTACTCTACCGAATGATGTTTTAATGTCTTTGATGGCCTCATCTGATAAATATCTTGCATTAGCGCTATAATATTCTTTATGAATACAACCCATATCAGAATATTTTTATTGTTTACACATATTAAAAAATTTTTAAATATTTTGAAACATACACAAATATTTCGAAACATTTCAAAACATTTTGTTATAACTTGATATACTGTATATTGATACGTTTCGAAATATTTGTGTATGTTTCAAAATATTTAAAAATTTTTTAATATGTGTAAACATTTGTACTAATTATTTACCATATCTGCAAATTTCCATATAACATAAATATGTGTATGTGATATGCGATACTTTCTAGTTAAAATCAATATTGCATTTTGCATACCTCTACTATTTATTATCTCACAAATTACTTTAGGTGGAAGGTATGTTTTATTTAACCGAAATCCCGCCTTCTCGCACTATATGCTCGAAGCCAGATATATTTAGTTAACAATAGTTTTTGATTATATAGTTATCTTCAGCAAGTTAGACACGAAGTGTCCTGCTCCGCAGACTGTATATCTTTTTTTCGAACTTGAGAAAAAAAAAGGAAATTTCATGATTTATCTTATTTTTATTACATATAGTTTAGCCAAAATATATGACCAATGCACAAGATAAAGAATCTCGTATTGTGAAAGTTATATCCGGGTTAAATTCTCGTAATAAAAAATTACAAGACAGGTATATAAAGCAAGAGAAAAATTTTGATCGTGAACAGAGAGATTGGGAACAGGAGAGAAAAAAATGGAGTCAGAAACTGGGTGGGTCCAATACTATGATCTATAAATTATGTACTCATGATCTCGAACTCATTTATGAAGCTAGGCGTTTACAGATTGAAAACGCTAATAAAGACATTTCTCTTGCAAAGTCCAAAGCTGAGAATGATATAAAATCCAAGAAAATCAAATCACATGAGTCTATGATCAGGATAATAGAAGGTAAGTTGGCATCAGCTCAGAAGGATGCATTTTCCGTTCAGAAAGATTTATCGAAAAAAGATTCTGAGATT